GCCACTGCTTTGTATCAGGATTTAATTCCAAATGATGGCACGTGAAATTGGGATCTATTTCAGGCATATCTGAGGGCCTCCATGCGAACAAGAAAAGGTTTTCCTTCAACAGCCTCACAATGTCAGTCTCTTCCTCCTAAGAAAGATGGCCTCCTATATAAGTTATTTCGGAAGGTGTGGTGCCGATCTGGACCTTATTTGGTTCATCATGAGGAGGAAGGTTGTCTTCTGACATATTGTCACGTGGATCTATATCGTTCATGTTGACTTTCATCTTATTAGAGTGCCCAGGCTCTTCGGGTTGCACCCTCTTCTTTAACTCCAAGCTTATAACATTTCTTTTCCAAACCTTGATCTCCTTTAACCACCCCGACCCGGCCGTCCCTCAAAGGGTACTTCAAAGTGAGGTACAGGATGGAGAGAGAAGCTTCCAAGGAATTGAAGAAACTTTTACCTACAATGATTTTATAGTGTGAGGTAGCATTGGCAATCAAGTATCTCAGTCTGACCGTTTTAGCATTTGTGCCACTCCCAATGGTAGTAAGTACCGTAAGGAGATATCTCAATACTTGCACTTGTTCTCCAGAGAATCTGACTAAAGTACCATTGAAGGGTAATAGTTCGGCAGTGTCAAACTCCATCCCCTTGAAGGCTTCCCAATAGAGTGCATCAATTGAACTACCGGGATCTACCAGCACCCTTTTCATGCTCCAATCTTTGATTTGTACCTTAATAATCATAGGATCATTCTCATGGGCCATAATGCCAACAACATCCCTTTTGGAGAAGCTAACCAAATTTAAATCCTGCTCTCGGACCTTGGCTTTGTCTTCAGATACGTGCATCATGACACGAGCGTATTTCTTCTTAGCCGAGCTGGTTTCTCTGCCGCCAGTGAATCCACCGACGATGGTGTTGAGGGTATCACGAGTTGATTTGGTCTCATGCACTTCCTCAGTACCATTCCCCTTCTTTTGGGAGGGTCCTTCTGAGTCTGTATCTTCTCACCGGGTTTCTCTTTTTCCGGATGGGGCTTTACCATCTTTTACATAAGTTATCAGGTGCCCCCTCTGTATCAATGCCTCGATTTCTTTCTTTAACTGAAGGCAATCATCGCTATGGTGTCCCCGAAGTCGGTGGTAACTGCACCAAGCCTGAACATCCCTTTCCATCATGGCATTGACCCTCTTTCGATGGATGTGTTCTTGGATCAGGTTTAGATGTGCCACCTCTTGAAAAATATCGCCTCTCATAGCGTTCAGATGCGTCAATATGTCGTCTGGATCAAAGGGGTGTCGGTTTGACCTTTGAGTTGTGCGCTCCCGGGGTTTATCCCTTGGAGTAGTCCAGGAAGATTATGGCTTCCTTCCCAACCCCTCCTCCTTGGTCTTAATTTTCTCTGAGGTGTCCCTGGATCATTTCTCCAAGTTACTTTCCTCACCCTTTATGTAGCATTTGGCTCGAGTGATAATTTCATCCATGTTGAATGTCCGCTTCTGTGCTAAAGACTCGTTAAACTGCCCCGCTCGGAGGTCGTGCTAAAAGGCTCTAACGAACAGATCTTGATTGGGATGGGATACTTTAATTATCTCTCTGTTGAACCGGTCTAAGTTCTCTCATAGAGGCTCTGTTTAACCCTGTCGGACACTGAATAAGGTAGTTGTCGACACCTTGCGGTGTCTGTTAGCGGAGAAATGTTGAATCAGTTTCTTTGTCAGGTCTGAATAGCTTTCTACTAATAGCCGGGTTAGGCTCATATACCATCATAGATCTACATCCATGAAGCTTCCAGCCATCAGCTTATATTTCAGTGACTCGGTGGGGACAAGTGCCATTTGATTGTTAATGGCAATAACATGCTCCTTAGGGCCAATCTTATCGTCGTAAGTTGTCAGTGATGGTGACTTAAAGTTTTCTGGGACTTGATCATCCCATATGGATTGAGATAATGGTTTTGGCTCTAGGAGCTCCACTTCTGTTTGTTCGTCTCCTATGCTCTTAAGTTGCAAGTCGGCAACACTGTCCTGCAGAGTCTCATTCTACTGTCTTAGAGCTTCCACCATGGCCAGCAATTGCGCCAGGTCTGGGGGGTCTCCTTCGGATGACATTCTGGTGAATGAGTGTTGAGGTGTGGCCGAGGATAATTTTACCAAGGTCTCATTCTAAAAGTAAGGAAAGCCATGGAAGTAGGTTTGAAGAATAGTTGGAGATTTGAGAGATACGTCAATGGTGCGTATTGTCCCAAGAATGATATCTTGCTTATCCCTCTTGCGGGAGCCCTTATATAGTGTTCCTTCTCGCGCCTTTAAGAGTCATAATTAATGTGTGACTCTTGGGTTTCATAACTATATAACCTCCACCGCCTCTATGAATGAAGGTGTTAAAAGTTGTATAACATGGTTTAAATGCGCCAGCGACAGTTACATTCATTAATGAGCTGAGTTGATGACCGGTTGTGGGCAGATGGGTCTCGGCCACTAGCCTCACCCGAGTTTATAGCACACGTGGGTTGCTTCCCGGAGGAGTGATGGTCGTCTGGCACAATGAGCCGAGATGCACCCTGGACACCTTCCACCATCGAGTCAACCATCAACTTCACTTCCCCTTCAGCCGATTTCACTACCCGATCGGGACTGATATTTATGGGATGTACTCTGTTCTTATATTGGTACTACTATTTCACAAACGTATTGAGGAGGGATTACAATGGATAAAGTATGGACAAAGTACTATAATATTCATTCACATACAGGCGGGTGAGAAAAATCAATGTAGCAGAGTCTATACTCACTTGGATACTAACGTTAGCACACGTATCCGTGTCTCAGGGTATGTAAGTACTCATACTTGTATCTGTTACCCACGTTTCTAATAAAAATAAATATATCTATTATAAAATATGATAGCCCTGTAAATTTTAAAAAACATTAAAAAGTTTTCAAAAAATTTATCGTTGAATTATAAAATAAATAAATACTTATATTAAATACGTAATGGTTTAACATTGGTGTATTTATATATGTATGTGTGTGTATGTGTGTGTGTGTGTATGTGTGTAGCGAACCCGTATCCTCTTATTTTAATGAGTAATTATCCAAACACATGCTCATACCTATTTTACAGGTATTTATCCTATTTGTTAAGGGTATGTTTGCGGGTGTTCATTTGGAGATGGATCAAATTTCCATCCCTAATATTGGTATACGAGTATAAAAATCTTTAAAAGTATTTCTTGAAGTGAATGTCTGACCATTATTTATAATATATTTGAAAGGTTTTTGGAGAGTTTTAAGAGAAATTTTAGAGGACTATATTTATATTTTGATCTATATTTAAAATTTATAAAAAACAATTTAAAAAAATTGTGATACATTAACATATAATATCATATTTGTTTTTTTACTTTATAAAAATATTACACATTAAAATATAAATGCGGTTCTCCAAAGTTGTTCCTTTTTATTGGCTGCATCTGATAAAATAACATATGTACAAGATGTATTTTGTGCAGAGGCAACATGTGGAATAAGATGTTCCAGCATGTGTTCCAACATCTGACATCTATCTATTAGCTAGATTTCATGAATAAATATGAGTGTGATGGTGTTTGTTTCTAGGAAGATTTTTTCAGTTTGAGGTTCTATTAAATTTCTTGACAGAAATATTTTTTTGCAAGCACATTGAAGCAACCAACAAAAAAAACACAGAGCCACCACCGAATTTTATTTATCCCGAAGGAAGGAAATATCAAGAAAACCCCAAGAGGATGGATAAGATGGTCTTGCAATCAAAAGAGAGGGTACATAAGTCGATTTTATGAGGGGAAGGTATTAGCACCCCTCACATTTGTTGTACTCAACGAGATCCATTTTGATTATTTATTTCTAAGGGCGTGTCTATCTAAAAATATACTTGCTAAGGGAAATGAAACGGATTTTATTAGTGCATTTGTGAGGGTCTCGCAACCCTTTGCCTACGTATCCCATGAAGGAATCAAAATACCGTAGTTTTTTTAGAAAATGTTGGTTTGTTGGTGTTTTTTAGTGGGAAATATTAGCGCACGCATTTTAGCAATAGACACGACATGTATCGCGACAGAACGGGGATAACGTGCCCTTTTTGATTTTGAATTTGTTGTGTGTTTTTGTTAAGTGTGAAATGGGTTTGAATAATGATTAAGTGTTTTTGGATTTTTTGATAAAGGAAAGAAGTTTCAGTTTTAATTAGGAAATATGCAATGCAAAAGAAAAGTATAAGGGGAAAGTCTACCCTAATGTTATCATGCGAAGATGGTCTTAGAGTTGAGATTGAAATAGGGAAATTCGTCCTAAATTTGTTATGCCAAGGTTTAAAACCTAATGTCTAATTCAACATTGAAACGATCCAAACAAATTTTAATCGTATAATGAAATCCTTAAAAGAACATGGCATCAAGAATCAACCAAATAAACAAATAATATAAAAGAAAATTAAACTCTAATATATTTTTTGTCACTTTTTTATCATATGAAATGAGAATAAAATTATGAAACAAATATTAAAAGTAATAACAAAGTTAAAATTAAGATAATAAAAGAAAACAAATAAAAACAGACAATAAAGTAACTGGGCTTGCATTTAAACAACAAATCGGGGTGTACGAAAACAATTTCGGACCTGAATTGGCAAAGGAAATTCTATTGGGCTCGATTAAGGCCCAAACAGCAAGACAACTTAATGCAAAACGAAACCCTGATACCCTAAAGTGGCAACCGTGCATACATCTTGTGTTTTTTTCAAAATTTAATTTTCAATTAATTCAATTTTAATTCCCAAAGAAAGTCAATAAGAGAACACACTACCTTTTCCCCTCTTCCCCTTTTCCATGCTTTTGTTCACAATCTCTCCTCATTTCTCATGCTCACTTTTTATTTATCTCACATGAATTGGTTCATCCCTCAGTCTCTTGGTTTTCAGATTCATGGAAAAGAACAACTTTTTCTCTCGATCTCATTCTCACCATGGTTTCAATCTCTATATAAAAAATCACATAACAATTCAATCAAGGAAAACCATAACCCCATGAAATCCCATCACCAATTTCTCACTAATTTTCGGATGGTCATAAGTATGATTACATGATTTTGTCGAAATCAGAAGCGCAAACAAAAAAACAGACGAAAACAAGTTTTACTCGGTCTCTTATTCTTCTTTGAATCTTTATTGAACCTTTTATTTTGATTTGTGCTTGTTGGTTTTGTTGCATTATTATTGTGAATTTTATGGTTTGTGCGTGTGTGAAGGAGGTTTACTGATTGTGTGGAGTTGATTATGGTTTATGGGTCTGAGTAAGTTAATATTATAGAGTTGAATGGTCTGTGTTATGGAAGAAGTTTTAAATAAGTTTCTCCGTAGAATTTTTCTAACTCTTTTTTCTTTTAAATTTCTCTCTAGTGATTCTTCCCTCATTCATGCTCATCTCACTTTGTTTCTTTCTATTGTGTCCAGGTTTTTTTAGCATGAATAAAGCAAACAAAAACACACCCAAAGCAACAAATGGTTTTAAACTAAATCACAGATGCAAACAACAAGATTGAACATAAATATGCATATTAAAGCAAGTATAGTTAAAGAGTTCAGAAGAAATACCGACTCTGAATGTTCTCGGAGGTAAAGATCTTCCCTGGTAACTTCCCTCCTACTTTACTTCTGCTCTTCTCTGATTTCCTCTACTCCTCTCCTCCGAACCGGAGCTAGTCCAACGAGTCTATTTTTGGCGCAGTGGCTCGGGTAGACTTCGACACTTCTTATTCTCTTCCTAACTTATGTATCCATTATTGCTTTCTTCTGGTTTTCTATGCTTCTGTTATGTTGAATGAGTACTGATTGAGAGTTGTGTTTGTGTCTGTTTCTGAATATGGTAAGGTTAGTAACTATGCAACTTTGAGGTTTAAGAGTGGAGAAATCTAAACAAAACTTTGGATGGTTTTTGTGGTCAATGAAATAGAGGTTTAGGTTAAAGTTTTCTATCAGATTATTGGTTTTTTTTGTGTTCTTATGTGTGATTTTTTTGCAGATTCTTGTGCTTATCGTTGGTGTCTATTTATAGGAACAAAAGGGTGCTTTCATAGTGTTAAAGAAGGGGTTTTGGGGGGAAAAGTTGGTGAGATTTGAACATTTTTTTGTTAACTGTATTGTAGCTCTTTGATGCAGTTTACTTTGCCTATTTTTGTGCAAGGTTGCAGCAGGTTGGACTGGTTTGTTACAATAGGTTTTTGACTGTTTTGCAGGGTATACAACAGATTTTAGACAACAACATTTGGACAGGTTTGGGACAGCAGTAGCAGCAGGTTCTTGGACTGTTATATTTGGTTTATTTTCTGGTTATTTTGATGCAAGTTGGTGTAGCATACAACAGGTTTAGATTTGTACAAAACTTTGTTTCTTTCCTAGTTTATTGTTACAGCGGGTTTTGGCAGTATAAGGGCTATGGTTTGGCATAGGATGAGCAAAGTTTTGGTGTTTTAGACAACAACTTAATGGAGGATAGCAACAAGTGATGGCAGCATCTTGGACAACAAGGTTTTGTTTGGTTATGGAATGAAGATTAGGGATATAACATTAGGTTTAGGATTAACATTTTTTGTGACCTTGGATGTAACAAACTATGTAATTGATCTTGTTCTTCTCACATTTTTAGCATAATTTTCCTCTTCAAAATTCATTTGAATAATGATGATGTAGCTTCTTTGAATGTATATTGATTTTGATAAAGGTTTATGGCAATATTGTAGCATGAAGCTTTAGCATGTAACTTTTTAATTTAACTTCCCTTTTGTTCATAAAATGTTCAAAGTTGTAGTTGTAATGATGGATGAACTTGAAATAATGCATCAAATTGAATTTTGCACTTGGAATTGAAATTGATCTCATGTCTTGAATAATTTTGACAACTTTGAAACATCATGCCTTGAAAATGGTCTTGAATAAGATAAATGATAGGATTTGATGAATACTTGGATGAATTTTGAATGATGGATAATGATGAATTAAGTGGACTTGAGTGAAACTTGAATAAGTCTTGTAATCTTGTGGATATTTGAATGATGAATGACCTTTAATCATGATGAATGCTTAATTCTTATAACTTGAATATCAAGAAATCCACCTTCAATTTTGCATGCTTACAACCTTGACAACTTTGAACCAATTTGAGGAATTTTTTTTATTAATAACCATGTATTAAAAAATTATTTCGCGAATAACCGGGTTTCGGAAAAAATTACGCAAATAACCATGTTTGAGATGGCTCCACAAAGGAGGAGCCATCTCATTTGGCGCATGCTCCTCTTTTTATAAGGGAGGCGCCATCTCACTTGGCGCCTAAGGGCAAAGGGCAAGCCCTAAGCCAAGTGAGATGGCGCCTATGTACAAAATTAGGTCAAAAAAAAATTTTTTTTTTCTTTCCTGCGCGTTGCGTATTAGACAGAGATAAACAAAATTGATTTTTTATTTGAAAAAAAATAATTACATTCAACTGTTTTACATTTAAATAACAGTAAAAAAATAGATACAAAAAATACTGGAAAAAAAAAAGATACATTAGTGATCCCCAGGAACCCGTTAATGACCCCCAGTTCCGCATCCCCGTCCTCGCCTTTCTCTTGCTGGGTGCCGTCTCGTTTCCTGCTGCGGCAAGGTCGATGGCCCAGCGAAGTCAATGCGATCCGAATTCATAAAATCAGTAAGATCTCCATATCTCGAAGATCCGCTCTGGTACAGTCGGTTACCCATACCCTCGAAGTTTGGTCGTGTTGGCGGTGGGTGGGGTTCCATGGTTGGTCGGTAGCATTGGTCGTCTGAGTATGGGGGGTAGAAAGGAAATGGATCTTGGGGTGTTTGGTACTGTGGATGTTGGGTTGTTTGGTGATATGGTGGTTGATGGTAGGTTTGGTCGGGTTGGTCATAATCTTCTGACATTCCCATATCAGGGCTAAGGCTGGATGTTGAGGGCCCCATATTGGGATATGTGGAAGACTGAAATTGTGTATGGGGTATGTGGGTTTGCTGGTATTGGGGTTGGTATTGTGGTTGGGTTTGAGGCATATCTGGGTATTGGTAGTTTGGCGGTGATTGTGGTTGGTAGTACGGCATTTGGTTGTAGTTGTGTTGTGGTGGGGAATGTGGTTGTGTGTTTGTTGGTCTGTTTCTTCTTGGGGGTTGGTTTGAGGTTGATGGATTTTGGGTTTGTTGGTGGGGAATCGAGGGTTGTGCCCATTGTGTGCGTGGGTCAACCAAATACCTCGGATGAGACACGTGCATATCTGGGTTACTAACCGACCTGTACCACGACATATATTGATCGGTGTGTCGCATGTTACCTTGAGTAAGGAAAATAGGGGATTGCAAGATGTAGCGGTGACGCCTTTGCCACATTTTACACCATTCTGGAGCAAATTCTTTCCAGTTGGTAAGATTCCACTGGGCGTCGACCCTTTTTAGATGCCAGGGGGACAAATCTGTTGGATCACTTGGTATCTCTTGGATCATTCCGAACTGCATCTTCACACGGTCGCTGTGGTGCATCTCCACAATGTTGAACCGAATGAGTGCAGTCTTTGCAGTCCAAGTTGTTGCATCCTCTGGATTTGGAGAATGGTCCAAACCCAAATATGGTCTCCAGACGAACTGCGATAAAATTTAAATCAGGTAAGCGCAAAAGTAATGTATAAATAATTAAAATGAACAAAAGTTAAAAGCTACGACTTACGTCATCTGGGCCTAAGTGATCCAACAGATTCCGGTAGAGTGCGACATTGAATCTGGGATTCTTGCCGTAATCCATACCCCTCACGCAGTACCTATAGGAAATGAGAAACATGTTATTTTTAGCATATATTTTGGAAAGAGAAGAATAGTTATAAATGTTATAACTTAATGACTTACTTTGTTGCGTAAGGGAAACCAAAAGTGTTGTTGTTGATGGGGTTTAAGGACTCCATCCTCCACCAACCCCAGGCTTGTAGTAAAAATGCGCACCCATAAAATGTACATTTTTCCTTGACTGCGTTTTTGCACAAGGAACTGTACAGGTGGGCTAATACTGCAGAACCCCAACTAAATTTTCTAGTTTTATCAAAATTTGTTAGTAAATGTAAGTACATGAAATTTACACTATTTCCCGTACTTTCGGGAAATAAAAAAGTACCAAAAAGTATCATAATATACGTTCGGGCTTTTACTACTCGGTCATTCTCTGAGGAATTTTCATTTAATTCCATACTTGCATAATGCCGTTTCAGGTCAGTGAGTAGTATTCCCTGCCCTCTTGCTCCACCACCTTCTACCATGTCCCTACCCAACAGTTCTTCACACTGTGAGTTGGGTTGTTGAACCGACCCATTCACCGCTTTACCGTCAATAGGGAGGCCCAGTAGCATGTACACATCTTCGAGAGTGATGGTACATTCACCTATTGGTAGGTGAAATGTATGGGTCTCCGGTCTCCACCTCTCCAACATTGCAAGAATGAATTTGGAGTCAATGGTGCAGTTGGAGATCTTTATCACGTGTCCAAAACCTGCATATTCCAGATAAGGGACGATAAAAGGGTCGGGAGCCAGGTATTTGTGCGAACGGATTCTGAATCTTTGTGTATCCTGAGATCATAATTAAACAAGAGTAAGATTAATTAAGATGAACAACACGTTTTTTAAAGTATGAAAAATGTATAACCAAAGAAGAGACTTACAAATGCAGCAATGTTTTCCCTTGTGCCTCTGTGAGTATCTCCCATTGTTAGAAGGGCCATTCTTCAGAACGCTTGAGAGAATAAAAGACTTAGGAAGAAATAGAGAGTATGATAGACTTAAGAAATATTTCGTAGCAGAGAGTGAGAGTTGTGTGGGTGTGAGAGATGTTTCATAAGGTATGTATTTATAGGCAAATAATTTTGATGTAGTGGTTGCATGCCTGCGAGGTGTCACATTTGCATGCTTAGGGAGTTACACATATGCATGCATGCATTTACAAAAAATGTAAGGTGTCACTCTTGCAGGCTAGGTGGCAGCCCATGCATGTATCACGATTGGACAGTAAGGGAGGCGCCATCTCACTTGGCAAAATAGTACAAAAATGAATGGTGTCGCCACCCCATTTGGCGAATAAGAGGTGTCACGTTTTACAGCATTGGCTCAGGCTACGTGACAGCCTTTGGGATTCCTTTCTCTGTTGCATGCAAGGCCATTGGAGTTGATGGGTGGCAGGCTTACACAAAACATTTATGTGTGCAGAATAGGGCCAGGCTAGGTGGCAGCATAAGCCCATGCATGTATCACGATTGGACAGTAAGGGAGGCGCCATCTCACTTGGCGAAATAGTACAAAAATGAATGGTGTCGCCACCCCATTTGGCGAATAAGAGGTGTCACGTTTTACAACATTGGCTCAGGCTACGTGACAGCCTTTGGGATTCCTTTCTCTTTTGCATGCAAGGCCATTGGAGTTGATGGGTGGCAGGCTTACACAAAACATTTATGTGTGCAGAATAGGGCCAGGCTAGGTGGCAGCATAAGCCCATGCATGTATCACGATTGGACAGTAAGGGAGGCGCCATCTCACTTGGCGAAATAGTACAAAAATGAATGGTGTCGCCACCCCATTTGGCGAATAAGAGGTGTCACGTTTTACAGCATTGGCTCAGGCTACGTGACAGCCTTTGGGATTCCTTTCTCTTTTGCATGCAAGGCCATTGGAGTTGATGGGTGGCAGGCTAGGTGGCTGCATAAGCCCATGCATGTAATATTATTGGCATCCTTGGGGGGTTGCATCACTTACTTAATTGAAATTTTTTGCCTTACGTTGAACATAACATTCATTCACATAAACTGTAAAATTTTCCAACCTTCGAATCAGTCATCTAACCTTCAAACATTCCAGCATTCATACCTTCATATAATCAATAAACCCAAAACATTCCCACCTTCATACCTAAAACAATTCTACACAATGGCCTCTTCACCACAATTTGTTGTCAAAGCACATTTCAACGGTGAGACATACATGTGTCCCACAGTTGGGTTTTTGTTTAGAAACACCGACAATGTCCGATTTCTCTTAAACGGGAAAGCAAATTTCTCCTACTTTAAGAAAAGATTGGAGGCCAAACTTGAACGAGGCCCGGTATCCCAGATATTTTATCAGAGTCCAGTCTTTTTTGGAAACAACCAAGTTATTTTTTATAAGGTTGCAATTCAAGATGACGAGGATTTCCAGAACATGATTTCCAGCCATGTCTATTCTGGAAACGACTCTATTGAGTTGTACGTTCTGTTTCAAGAGCCTCCGGTGACACAGGAGGTAGAGCCTCCGGTGACACAGGAGGTTGATCCTTTGGAGAATGAGCAAGATGAGGTGGATGCAGTTGATGATGAAGAAGAAGATAACGAGTTAGAGTTCGAAGAAATGGTGAACGACGATTCTGACGATGATGGCATCCCAAGTATTCCTACCGACAAAATCTACACACCA